GCGCGTGGCGAGACGTGCGCATAGCAATATCGATCGCCGGGCGGTCACATCTTGCCACGCGCTCGAATTGGGCGGTAGGCCGGCCTAAGACAACGATTTTTAATAATTAATTACTCGTTAACTATTACGAAAATTGCAAAATGGTACAAGACTTTTCCGTTCATCTCGATCCGTTCTACCTTCTCAAAAGTTTTGTCGGATATGGAAAGACTCACCCTGTATATGTAATCTGTACGAATACGATATGGTACGACATGTAATTTGTCATAACTTTTATTTGATCCGTACACAGGAAGAAAACTTTCAATCTGGTCGCATCTGGTTAGCATGGAACGTTTTTGTCGATCAATATAGTTACGCGTTTCCGGTGAATGCTGATTCCATCAGACGCTCCTTCGCTAATGGAATTCCGCGCGATGCTGGAAAAGTCGTGTTATCGTTTCGAAAGCTCATTCGCTCGAACGGGAGGGACTTTCACCGTTAAACCAGTGATAATAATGGCATTGTCGGTGCTGGGCACGCATAAGGCGGGAACAAGAAGCGAGAGCGTCTCGTTATCCAGGGAAAACACTCTCGGCCGTTCCTTCCTCGAGTAAAAGTATTTCCATCTTTTCGCGAGGAAACCGCCCATTAGCGGGAAAATTAGCGAGATCGTCTAACTATGTGGTATCGGATAGCGATAAAAGTGAATTCGTGATCAGACATCGTAGCGAGGCGAACGGTTATTAATTCCGCGCGGCGGGAATGGGTTGTTAATGGCTTCCGTGTCGCGGAAAATCCGCCGGGTAAACGACACGCCGGTGAGAGATGAATTATTCACGTGCGATAATTGACAATCTTTATGCTCGCGGATAGAGTCGAATCGCCGCGCGAGATGGAGATGAAACAATGGCCGGCATAATGCGGCACGTTTTAAGCAGCTGTTTAGTTACGGCCCAGCACCGAAGAGATACCCGACGATAATTCTCATGCTGGCTCCAGTCCGCGCGACCGCTCATAATTGAACAGAACGGCGCATTACAATTACTCCGGCCTCACTGCGTGAAAGAGCAGCTTTCACGTCACGCCTCAGCGGCGAAGAAGAATCGATTCGTTCAATTTCGTCAATAAACTGCATTATTAATACAGCTCGTATACTACGTCTTCATCGCTGCTAATTACCGCGACGTATAATGAACTGAAGAACTAAACCAGACTTTTCTACAGGCACATTTGTTAACGTGGATTGTAATCATTTTTCATTGGAGACCGGGGAGCGTAAATAATCCTTCGGGAATTAAAAAGAAAGGGGCACCGGCCGCGACGCAGGTAGAAAACGAAGCCGTATGCGTTTGAACTTAATTCGCGCGAATCTCTCGGTGTATCAAGCAATTTTCTACTTAGGTTTTATTGTTCTTTCGAACTTTAGAAGAAAAAAAAAAAGATCGGCTCGTTGAACTCGTGAAAAAGATTGACCGCGACTGTAATGAGCCGAGCTAGATAAAATGTATTTAATTGCTAATTGACCGTAATTATCAGCAATCAGTATTCGTGATGAGTAGCAGACAGCGGTCTCCCTCGCTGTCTTTTTACGCACGACACTTGGCGGAAGGCACGAGCGTGTCTCCCGATCCTTTCCCGATACCAGAGTTTCTCCTTTACCTCGTGTTGCTCCTCACTTATGCGCTACATGTCTACGCACTCATTACAGGCGAGAATAGTGGTTCGCACACGTGCAACAGGAAAGTCTCGCGACCGTACGTATCTCTCTTAACGCGATCCTTTTGCCAGACGGGGGGGGACTGTCGCGCGAGTTCGAATTCGCGATCATCGTTGCAGGGAGGGAACGTGGAAAGCATGTAATTGTAGCGGTCTGCAACTCTACGGACGGGCGTCCGCGGGCGGTTGTCCATAGCCCGTCACACTCGGGATACCATCTGGGTCAGAAGACGTAGCGCTTGAGATGATCTTACAAGTCCAGATACTTGTAATCTACCCCCTAAGCTAAGCCGCAAATGAAAGTCCCTATCCAACCAGGTTTTCGACGTTAATCCGTTAAAAGTCACAGCGCTACGGTTTCTTTAGATATGTCTTGTTTGGCCAAGAGTTTGTGTAATTTTTCTAGACGGCCTGTCACTTGGGACTTGCTCTATTGCTGTGTTCCAAATTTGTCGCAGCGATTTTATTACTTGTTCGAAACTGGATTAAGCTGTTTCACAACGGTATAATTAAACGGTAATTAAGCAGTACGTGATAGCGAAATAGAGAAGAGAACATATAAGTGTTTCCATTATCAATAATGCGGCATTTGCTACGTTTTCAAAAAGTTTCAACAAGGTTTGAATTATTAACTATTAATGCTGTATAGATATCTGAATAGGAAGTAGTTTCAACGAGCTGTCCTTACATGACATCATTCGAAAGTCTCATCTAAAGGGGTGTTTTCCAATTTATATTTAATTAGCTATCGTAGAGCTCCGTGCGATTATTACAGCATTGACACAGATTAAACTAGCGTCTCGTATCGTAAACGTATGCCATTAATTACATGCATGAGCGCGGATGAGCGCTCCTTCTTAGGAGAACTCGATAATTACAGTCGTCGCGTAAGCCTGTAATCTCCCGAGTTTTCATTTAGTGAAACTACGTTATTCCGGTACGCAAACAAGAAAAAAGTGTTGGATCGACGAGATCTCGCGACGGGATATTTGCGACGACATTTTATTCGATAATATCTGAGGCGAGCTTGAGACAAAAATATTACAACTAAAGTTGCCAATGAGTTTTAAATAAGAAAATGGTTGGACTGATCTCCAGGCAACATCCCCGGCACTATCGTCGTCCGAGTTGGTAACAATCGACCAGACTTAGGAACGAATCCCATTTGCAATGAGTTCACCGGATCTCTGGAGGAAGGGCAGCCACTCTTCTTGCCTTGCAACCCACCGATGCCCGGAGCTTTCGTCTCGGTGCATCTGGAGATTCGAGGGTCCGCTTTTGTGGAGCTGTCCTTGTGCGAGGCGTTTGTCTATACCGATCAGGCAGGTTTAACAGTTGTACCGACAACTGGGTCTTACGCCAGAACGGAAATAAATCCGTTTCTCTTTCTTTCATCACACGACGGTGATTGATTGTGTAAAATATGAACGCAGGCCTTACCGATCGAGAGGTGTCCTCAATTCCGGGACCAACCGCCGGGATCAACGGCAACTTACAACGGCAAGTGCTACATATTTTACAATCGCAATCCGCTGATGTTCAATGATGCTCTGACCTTCTGCCGCGACCGAGGTGGCACCCTCGTGGATGAGAGTAATCCTGCTCTGCAGGGATTTCTCTCCTGGGAATTGTGGAGGCGGCACAGGTACATGTAGCTGTAATATAGAGAGAAAAGTCTATGAAAATTGCCAATAACATGTGTAAAAGGAAAGTTTAAGATAGTTAAAAAGTTATCACAAATAACGACGAGAATGTGAAGGATTTTGAAGATATATCTTGAAGAAAATTTAGATCTTGTATTTTATAAAAAAAATATATGTACATATAATTGAAGAGATGGAAACTTAGCTAAGAAATATTACGTACTAGAATGGTTTGATTTGGAAAATAATAAATGGAAGTGTGTTCAATCATTGACGAAGGGGCGACACGTCCAGTCACTATTGGTTGGGCGCAGTTCGGGACCAGAGGAATCGGATGTCGTGGAGATGGACCGGAAGCAGCGAGGAGGTATCCGTTTCGTTCTGGGACCCACCGCCGGGACTCACCGAGGAAGACTGTGCTCGGTACAACGGCAGTAATGGCTGGCTTTGGGCCACTATATCTTGCTTAGCCCGGCTTAATTTTATCTGCCAGCATCGTAAGTACCGTCTTGCTTGCGATACATCCGCATTCCTACTCTTTAAACGACACTCTGGAAGAGACGTTTGAATATAATGTGTTTAAAAGCTTTTTCAATTCCTTGTGATCTACTGTGAATTCGAAAATACTGTAATCATTTTATACCGAGTGATAAATTTTGTGACGGAACAACAAATTTTTCTATTCTATCTAATTGTAAAATTATATAATTCATCTATTAACAGATAGAAAACTAGGTATAATAGAGGAACTTTCAAATAATTGTACTTTATTGAATTCGTTTTCCTAAGATTTTTTTCTTTTAAAATTTCCACGTTTTGTTCTTAAAGTTTTTTAACTTTTACTTGAAATTCTATATTTAATAATTTTCTACTATTACTGCTGCTTATGCGCGCAAAAATATGTTTCATTGTTAAAAATAACCGTTTTTTCGTTGATTGGAAAAATTATAAAACCAACTTTGCTGTTTCAGAACCAAAGGCTTGCGGTAGGCCCGAACAGCCACCAAACTCCACGATGACGGTGATCAGGACGCCGTCCAGGACATCAGGCAACGTGTACCAGGTCGGGGCGACCGTGGAGTACAGTTGTAACGAGGGTAGCTTCCTGATCGGACCGGCGAGCCGCACTTGCCTCGACACCGGTTTCTACAACGAGTTCCCGCCAGTGTGCAAAAGTAAGGAACACCATTTCAGTGTGTCGAGGAACCGTACTCGAATGAAATCATCGCGCACGTGACGCGCATCGTAACACGCTCTGGTCGTTCCAGGTATCGAGTGCGGCTATCCCGCAAGCATAAAACACGGTGGTTACACGCTCATCAATAACACCGTCAGTTACTTCAGCCAAGTGCTTTATTCCTGCGAGGACGGATACGAGATGATCGGTAAGTATTACAGTCAATTGCGACTCGTCATAATTATGCGCGGCGCATTTGAGATGGAGAGCCGGCCGTCTCGTATAGATCGTGAGAAATGATTATAAACTGATCTCTGGCGACCACAGGCCGTGCGCGACTGACTTGCGACATCGACGAGCGTTGGAATGGGCCACCGCCGCGATGCGAGCCGATGCTCTGCGATCCACCGGCTGCGGTCGCGCATGGTTCTTTCAGGATAGACGACAGTGACAAAGACGAAAGTGCTCGGGGGAGAAATAATGTCAACCGAAGTTTGCTGGTTAATAGCGTCGTCACCTACTCGTGTGATACGGGCTACCGGCTCGTTGGTTCCCAGCAAATAACGTGTTTAAATACTGGATTATACGACCGCGCCGTACCCACCTGCACAGGTATTTATTTATGTATTTATAATAACAAAAGTCAGAATTTTTCGTAAATCTATCGTAAATCTATCGTAAATCCACAAACGTTCGAGATAATAAATAATTAAGTTTAGCAAATTAGACTTGTAGCAGTTTTATAAAATTTCGAACAATAAATACTGAGCATTATATCAGGCAGCTGCTAATAAAATTACAATGAATAAAAATTAATACGTGTTGGCTAAAATTAATTTGGATATTTAGGAAGTAGTGTATGTTGCGATCTATGCGTATATTGAAGGGTGCGCACTTTTCTTCAACAGAGGAACCGCGGATAGTGAGTTCTCCTACTCGACCGACGACACGTTCGTCCACTCAAAAAATTCGGACGTACCTCACTCCAAGGATCAAGACCACGACGAGCACAGTGAGCACGGTCTCCGTGTCGTCTAAGAATGTTCCCAACACCGCGGAACTCCCAGCGACGGTGAGGGAGACCGTCTCGAGGAGGCCGAGTATCGGCCTGAATAGACCCGCGCTTCCTTCGTCGGTGCCCAGCGACGCCGGCAGCGATCATCCGCAGGACAACGAGATATCCGGAAGCGGCGTGGATCACGCGCAAGCGGGTATCGGGGCGGGCGTGCCGGAACCGTCTGGCCCCTTCAGAGTGGACAGCGCTGAGCATCCCAACGGCCATCAGGCCAAGCTAAACCTGGGGGCCGTGATCGCCCTGGGAGTGTTCGGCGGCTTTGTGTTCCTCGCCGCGGTGATCACGACGGTCGTTATTCTCATACGCAGGTAAAGAAAGTAACGCGTCGTTGTGCCATCTCTCGAGCGATAGTTTGACCTCGAGAATCATCACCAAGCGCATCCGACCCGTGAATCTTCTCTGTCTCTGATGATGCGATAGCGCACTCTGATATACATAGACGACATTCGAGCGAATTGTACATTATATCGCTTACTTTGTATTAATTTGATCTACCACCTATCCTCTACCGCTCTGTCTTTTTTCTAACTTGTAATACGTACATATGCTGCTATGTTGTAATCTGGATCTTTTTCGTACAAGATGAGTTTGCTTACTGAAACCGCGTGTATGTACATGTTTCTCAGAGTCTTGATGTAACAAAAGAGTATCTAACATCTCGGATAGAAGTACGCAGGGATAATAGTACTGTTCGCCCCTTCATTCATTGATCATAAGCTTCCTGTAACTTAGCCTGTAATTTATCTTAAACGTAGTCTCAAATTACGCTTTGCAAAGGAGATATGTTCTCATTTTCTAATTGATCCATAATGATTTTCTTTAATTTGTTGTCACTAACCAATGGTTCTCAATGTGAGTCATACGGCCACTTAAAGGCCCACGGTACTCCTTTCACATATAAAAGATGGATATCATCAGAGATCATGGTAAATGAATCAGTCGAAATGTCTTTTTGTTGTCGGTCAAGGATGAAGATAAAGTCTAATATACAATGTGCACTTTGCGTCTCGAAATATTCTATTTTGTAGCCAACAAATACGTTTCAAAAATTTATGCAGGTTCATAAATTGTACATTACATATTGTGCAATCGTGCATTGTCGACAAATTTTTCAAGCGTTTTGATTTGCTTGTATGCAATAAAATGTTTCTAGACGCAAAGACACGTTGTAGACAAGGTTTAACTGTAGTCGAAAAGGAAACTGAGATTTGACAAGAATGGAGACTTGTCGCTAGTGAATAATTAACAAATAAAGGAAATTATTAGATGACCTAACTGATTTGGTCGTGACCAAAGTTGAGAAACAGTGGTGTTGACACTGGTCGCAAGACCCTTGTCTTGACGTAGCGTCACGGAAGCGCGCGTGAGTCTCGTAGATAGTCTAGCCCGCAACGACGACGATTAACACAGAGTCCATTTGTGCATTGCGATGGTTAGCGGCAGTGGCAGCGTCGGAGGAAGGCGCCGCAGGGGGCTCGGTGGGGTTGGTGCGCTGAGGGGTGGCGGTAGTGGTGGCCTTGGGAGGGGCGACACCGGGATGCCCTCGCGTTGGTATACGCTACTCGCGCTGCCCTTCCCCGACCAGCACCTGGGGCGCCGCGACCTCACGGCACGCCGCGGTAGCGATCATCCCTATTCCTTCAGCCTCTCGGCGGCGCATCGCGCCGGCTACTTCTCGAACCCCTCTCTGTAGACCGCCATCGTCGCCCCTCCCTCTCAACCCCCGCCGTGAAAATTATAGAGAAAAGAAAGAGAGAACCATTCCACTCTAATAAAGCCCACAACCACCACTACCACCCCAACCCTCCACGCAACCATCGCCCACCACATCAACCATCACCACCAGCTACCACGCGCCACCCTCGCGAGTGATACTAGTCAAGGTAAACGAGCAAGGTTTCTACTGAGCACCTTCTTTAGCGTTAGCTCGTTCTGCCGCCATGTCACGCCTTGCAAAAGTAGAGGATGGCTTTGTAGTGCGTTGCACACACCCGAACACACCAATATCCAATTATACAGTCTACAAAAATAGCGTAGATGATTCACATTCGCATATTCAAGAATTCTAGAAAGTGGTCGTATATCCTGAGAAAATATCTGAAAGATGTTTAAGACGTCTCTGAACTATTAAAAAGACTTCATTATGCTTTCCGGGATCATTTTAGCTCCTTCGTTTCGTTTCATCGCTGTGAGATGAGGAGAATTCGGCTGCTGTAGAAACGACCACGATTTAGAAATCCTGAGTATCGTACATAGAAATCGCGACAGAAGATGATTATGTACAGTGCCCCTTATGCTCTTTTCATGCCTGCAATACTTTGTGTTATAATCTCTTTAAGATTACATTAGTACTAATACTAATTAGACATCCGCATTATACTTATTATGATACATAACATAATAAATCTCTCAGAATCAGTGCAGTGCGGTGCATTAATTCGGTTCTGATTGTATCATCAAAAAGCATCTGTTTTTAAGTAATTAAGTAATTTTTGCCCATCCCTGATTATCACCCGAATCGAATTAACGCACCGTACTGTACGTTAGAATTATTACTACATTAGTACTCAGATTTTTCTCTCTTTTCTATTTTCATTTGGTGATCAGTGGCTTGAAAATCGCTTTGAATCGCAGTAACAGGAACGCTCTCGGCCCTTTTCCTTCCACTTTTAATGTATAAAAGTACAACGATCGGATTCGTTCTTTTATCAAGTAAGAGCGTACGAGATGTACACCTGAAGAATCCGATCCGATTCTTCTTCTCCCATTGCACATAACGCTTTGCCTATTTGTTTCAGTTGTCTTATGCAAAATACGTTTAGTTCCTGCGGAATAAAAGTCGCTCCTAATTATGCGAAAAAACTAAACTTGACGTGGGAAAAGATTATGAGTGTGTGTTCGTCTTTTATGTAGGAACCGCGGAAGAAGCAGTAAACACTATCGTCACCGTGCATCACCCGATTGCAATACTGTCGCCAGTTTCGACAGCAGTTCCTCGGAGAGCCGAGGAGGCCTGAATCGATATTATCGCCAAGCCTGGGAGAATCTGCACGAAACCACCGGCCATAAGGCCGGCCATCCGCCGCTTCGTCGTAAGGAGACCCTGGATGAACCAGGATACCGGGAGAACTTCCGCGGTAACAACACCGAGCGCGACGGCTCGGAGCTGGTCGTCAGCGATGTCGCCGCGTATCCGTCGAGCAAGCACGCCAGCGTCTCCGACAAGAAACGTCATCATCATCACCATCATCATCATCACGGAAGCGCGACGCCCGACTGGAGGCAGTCGCAATCCCACCACAGATACTAAACAGAGAGCAAAACGGACAAGAAATCTTGGTGTGACACGTTCGTTCGCTACGTCTCATCTGCGATCACCTCAACGATGATTTGTAGGCGACGCCGAGCGTTCGTGGTGAACGCTCACAATTATTGCGGGTTAAAAGATCTTCCTTAAACGAGGGAGCGCATCGAATCTTCCACTAACATAAGTTGTACCTAAATAACGTCTTACACGGAATAGAGATGAAAAATAATCCGAACGTAGATCCTATATATACTGCTCTGTTATAAATTATTTACCGTCTGTTTGCCGCGGAAATGTAAATATTATATACATCGTTAGGTAAAAAGTAAGGATAGTCGCTCGTCGTAAGGAAGGTAGCAGAAGCTGGTCAGAGGATATGCCAAAAAGCAAAGAAATAATATACAATAACGATCAAACACAGAAGACACCGTAACGTAACGCTTAATGGTAAGTTATTGTAAGATCAGAGATTTGTGTAATCGTTTACATGTTCGAGAAGATTTTGTAAGAAGACTAAGGAGAGTGACCGGACATCGGCAGAGCTTACATCTGTTATGGGTACCTTGGCCTCGCTTTAAAAGGATTACTATGGTTCCAAAAAGAAAACTGGATATTGCATATAAGTATCATTAAGGGAAGGCCGATGTTATCCATTTAGGAATAGGACAAAATATCGTGTTAATTCTTGTGCATGTGTATGAGCTACACGCAAGTAAAAGGATTACGAAGGCACGCTACAGCTATGTATATGAGTCCCTCGTTGATCGCTATTATACCTTCAATATTATGCTACTATCGAGTTTGTATTATAAGTATGTAACACTTAATTATAGTTATTATACTTATCAAATATTTTTATCAAGCTCACTGGAATTGAAGCGATATGATTTAAGAAATGATGTAATTGTTACAGCAATAGGTTTTTATTAATTGACTGAGATAATTAAATGCGAAGTGACTCTGTACATGCGTTTCCGTGATTTTATTTATCGTAATAAATTACAATAGTGCCATTTGGGGCAAACTTGTTTGATTTACTGAAGAAGCAATTTTGTCACTCAAACATGGTACATGATAACAGATACTAGCATTCGTAAATCACCTATGTAAGGATCACTAGACTTAATTTAACATTTATATGAAATTAGAATAAACATGTTTATAATGAATATATATATATATATAATATGCATAAGTACAGGTGTTCTTTTATCCTGCAGAAAAGAGTAATAAAAAAGATACTACACAAAATATAAACTTAAGATATTTGGAATATTAATAATTGTTTGGAACGACTTAAAAATTAGCATTTTTTAACAGTCTAGATATTGATCGCATGATTTACTTGTATAATATCACACAGAGAGCTCAATTTTGTAGCCATTGCTGGATTATACCCTTTATCTGCACTCTAGCTTCCTTTAGCTGAGGCATATCACGTTCTGATGGAGGATACATGTTGGCGCAATGTGCAGTGCCTTTAAATAAATTGAATAATGTGTTTAGAAATTGATAAATAGTGATACATTTGTAGCACACTCAATTTACCTTTGATATAGATAGCAGGCGCCCGTGGATTGGAAGACTGTACCAAACCCAACACATGCCACGGATCGACAGAACCATGTACAAATACTACGTTTGTCACTTGCAGGTCTAATGCACCATACACGAGATTCGTTTGTGCGGCAGCGGTTTTCAATACGTTCATGTCGTATCTTCAAAAGAACTTTCACATTACTAATATTCTGCTCACAGTTGAAATATAATTTAATAAGCAAAAACCAACCTAGGCCCGAAAATATCGACGCATTGCTGTACAAAGAAATCCACCGGGAAATTATTCCCGAACACATTGGACTGTCCAGTGGAGGTTTGGAAGAATCCAAACTCTGTACAAGTCTGGTACATCCATTGACGTCCTACAAATATCGTCGTTCGTGATTTGCCATCAACGTGGGCCACAAAACAATTTAGATATTATTAAGTGCATTACCTCCTTCCGCTTGCTCGCTAGCCCAAGTGACATTGCGAAGCTCGTGAATCATTTTGTCATATCTATAATCTAAACACTTCTCCTTGGTAGCATCCAATATCATATTGCTTACAGAGGCAAGTCTATCGATAGGCTTTCCTATTTTCTCGTCTACCAGTACATCACATATGGTCTCGATAGTGATATTAGCGGTCTGCGAGCTCTGGCGATTGTCTTTATTGTATTGTACAACGCCAGCAAAGTTACTCGCCAATGTTTCATACAAGTTGGAGATATCCACTCTCTTTGTATGCCCAGGATCAATTGGGTCGCATAATCTGCGAAGCGTGACTTATGAGAAGCATATCGGTTGTGTTCCGCATCTTGGCAAACGTACTCACTTGAATTTCTTCTGTATTTGCTGCTGACCAACCGTATGGTGTAACAATGTGTTAATTTGCGAGATGGCATCTTGTATCACGCCAACACACTTGTCAGAATACTCTTTCAAGGCGTTTACAACAACGATATAATATTCTGCAATGCGAAAAATCGTTTGTACACATACATGGGACACTAAAAATTATTACCAATTACCATCAAAGTCGATCTGCGCTAGCAGCGGTCCACTAGAGGACACAGCTCCATGTACCAAGTGAGGATACTTGAGGCGCATCCAGGCGGCCAAAGATCCACCGTACGATCCCCCGAATACAATCCATTTTGTATCTTTTGGAAACTTGTAGCCGATATTAACAGCGTTGATGAAGTACGCTAAATCCGCTAGTGCATTGTCCGAGCTCAGGTACATCAAGTTCTTCACGCTGAGATCCCTGCAGGTGTCAACGACACGTTACACAAAGAGTGAGAACAAGTCCATAGGCAAATGGCCCCATTTTTTTGCATTCGATTTTGGTCACAAAGTAGGTACCGAACGAAAGGTCTCGTTAAGATGATCACAGATATGTCAGTCTCAGAGTGTATTTATTTAACGTTCCAGAGATATCGGCTTCCAAAGGTTCCATAACATTCCAAACAAATGGTTGGTATCTGTCCAGACGGCTTCATCGCTTACGTCCTGGGAATTTTTGGAGCCCGATATCTCTGGAACGTTAAATAGGTACACTCTGAGACTGACATATCTGTGATCATCTTGACGAGACCTTTCGTTCGGTACCTACTTTGTGACCAAAATCGAATGCAAAAAAAATGGGGCCGATCTTGTTCTCACTCTTTATAAAACAACTCTTTCTCTGCACTCGTATTCCACTTACATAGTCGGGTGGCTTTTTCCATAGAAACGGTGCTCCAGATAAAAACACATCGCTCCGAGTTCTTTGGCGTATTCGATCCATTGGCCCTCTATCATCCATTTTGCATTTGCTATGCCTTCAGCGCCGATCAGTAAAAATATCGGGCCGTTGGGTTTGTAAAAGTCGGAATTCACGAAGTATCTCTGTAAAGAAGCGATAAGTCATGGCGCAACAGCATCAACGCTTGAGGTAAAATCTTTCTCGATGAAATGATAAATGTGCCATAACGTGCAATCAAAATTCTACATTTGGTATTACCTGTTTCCAGACACGAGCATCGGCCGGATTGAAATGATCCAGACGCTGGTTAAACCAGTTCTCCTCGGGCAGCGATGTTGTATTGGAGAACAAAACTGGCTCTCCTAAATTGCCACCTTTCAATCGACCTCTCAAGAAACTTCGCCACGCTGTACTGACGCTCAAGATGCTCAATAAAATCAGCAGGAACCGCATTTTATATTTGAGTTATTCTTATTTTTTTTCTAGCAGAGGCAGCTCTGTAAGAAAATACAGGTGTAGACTTTGGGGAGATTCACTTCAAAGCGACTACGTCAAGTTGTAGAGAATATAATGTGTCATGCGACTGCAAACAGATGGAATATCTTTTCTTCACAGCATGGTTCTTATATTTTATTTAGCAAAGAGGAAGATACATAGAGGAAAGTCCCCTATTATAAGATAGGATCCTAATATGAGATAGCGGTTTCTGGCAAATTAATAAACATCATCAGCTAATTCCGCCATGAATTTATTGTCCTTGGAACGAAATCTGTTTAGTGGAAAACTCATTGTTAGATCGTGTAGTCGTTGCGAAAAAAAGATTTGCGATTGAATTTGGGCGTTGAAAACCTGCTATCTCAGGTTGGAAACCTATCTCATAATAGAGATTTTTCCTCTATCCAGCAAACACCAAAGTAACAGTTATATAACACATACGTGTTACACTTACATTTATATTGTTGTTTTGTAACTGTTACCTTGGTGTTTGCTGGGTGCAGTTTTAAACGTACAGTTATTATTCGTGCAAGGTGAATTTGTAAATTCCTATTGCAAAGATATATAACTTTATCCTACCCTTTCTTTTCTCTCCTTAGGTTAAACGCAGATCTTACAACGTCGTCGTTACAACGCGAACGGGAGTTCTCGCCTCTGAGTCTCTCCGGCGGCAATTTTGCTAGACATAATACGAGATAAAGATGGCGATAAAAAAAATGGAGATGTTGTTCACAACAACTTGACACTTGGAAGTGGCCTGTGAACTTGAAAGAAAAAGATCAGCGCTGTTTACATGCACTCTTTAACATGTACTTCTCGCCTCCTCTCTTTTTCTCTCTCCGGCGTTCGGTCATATGTCTGTCCCTTTCTAGAACCGGGAACGTGTAACGCGGTGCATGCCGTCACAAAGAGCATTGTCTTCCATTGTACGCAACCTTCCTTACTATCGGTCGGGATCTGCGATATGAAAATTTACCGACGACTTCTCACGATGATCTTATTAAACAATTGCATGTCAATATTTTTGCTGAGTCTAAAGCTTTTTCCCTCGCGAAAATATTTTACTGTAAATATACGAACGAATTTTGCCGAAATCTACTTGAAAATCTCCCTCGATCGAGCCCTCATTAATATTTCGGTTTAAAGATGCAGTGAAAAATTATTACGTTGTAATTTCCCACTCAACAATACAAACGTAAGACAAGATACGTTATGCACTGTTGAGTAGAAAATTACAATTGACGTTACGTAACCGTTAATTGGTGTTCATTACGCTGTTTGCGATACGACAGATTCTCCGTTCGGAATCCGTTTCTGCCGACGTCGAAGACGACATCGACAGGCTCCGCCGGCAAAAGACGAGTTTAATACGAGCGGAGATCGCGATACCGGAAGCCGGAGCGAACCTGCTGGCATTCTGTTCCCGTTGTATCGCGAGGTGGTTTGCGCGCTGCGAGGATCGTGGAATCTTGGACGTCGCGCTTCGGGAACAGCAACGGACCTGGCAAGACGAGGGTGGCGCGGTAGCAGGCTGCGTGAGCCGTCTCGTGAGCGAGCGTATGACCACGTGTGACGAATCGACCCGACGCCGGAGGAGACGCATTGTCGGCGCGGCATTGTTACGCCCGCACGAGCGAGAGGATCGCGCGTGCGTTTCCGGGAAGCGCTGGCTGGCGCGATTAATGAGACGCGCGGTAGCGCGGCACGAAAGGATTGGATCCTCCCGGCGGCGGCCGCGACTGCCAAACAGCGGCCCTTATCTCGGCGGCCGGTTAAATATTTATTTCGTCGCGCCGAACGGCAGCGTTTGATCGGCCGCCGCCGCCGACAAGGCACCTCGGCGCCGCTATAAATGCCGCCTGTTGCCTTGCTCCGGATTCAGTCGGGTACGGGTAAGTTGGGCTGATGGCAGAAAACGATCCGTAAACAACTTAAGTCTGTCCTTAGACGTAGACGCGAGGCAAGGCAGAGAAAAACCGAAGTCGTGAAAGTCCATTGCATACGACTCAAGTTTTTCTCTGCGTTGCCTCAAGACCTGAGCAGAATGGCTGTCTTGTATTCTTAAGTCACGGGACAGCCATTAGTTATTGTGCGTTACTTTAAGACAAAGATTTAATGCATAAAACATTGTTTTCAGAGTGCAAGACGGCCATTCTTTTCAGGCCCTTAGGCTGATGGTAAACGGATACAGAACGATCCGTAAACGCTTGAGACTGTCTTAGTCGTAGACGTGAGGCAAGGCAGAGAAAAACGCAGGTCGTGAAAGGCTATTGTATACGACTTGCGTTTTTCTCTGCCTTGCCTCACGTCTACGACTGAGACAGTCTTAAGTGCGAGGAGTAAACCGGTGAGGGCATTGTGGTGTACAGATCTGCGGCATTACTGGGCACTTTTTGGGCATTAGGCTTTGCTGGGTCATTCCAAAGAGAAAATAAAGTCAAACGAGATAAATAAGAAAAAGTCCACTGGGCACTAGTAGGCATTGGTGTAACATGATTTTGGTCAGCGGTTTACCCCTTGCTTAAGCGTTTACGGATCGTTCTCTGCCATCAGACTTATTCGGAGAGCGTCCCTTCGTGATATTCTTGACTCTAACGACCGTCCTCTTGCAGATTAGCGCGACATACGCTGTGCGCGTGAGGCAACATGAAGTTCGCTGAGCACCTATCGGCCCACATCACGCCCGAGTGGCGCAAGCAGTACATCAGCTATGAGGTACAGTGTCAACCGCAAACATTTAAATCTGTAACAAATCTATGCGATTAAAAGGTCGAGGGATAGCAAGCTATAACGGTTGTTTATTTAAATCTCGCGTGTCAATGCGAGTGTCAGGTGTCATTGCAAGGACGTGCTCTGACTTTGCAGGAGATGAAAGCGATGCTTTACTCGGCGGTGGAGGAGGCACCGTCGGACGAGAGCGAGGAGCCAGAGGTGATATCGCGCCACTTTGCGTCGTTCGACGAGGTTTTTTTCACGTTCTGCGATCGCGAATTAAAGAAGATCAATACATTTTACTCAGGTGAGGGGATACATCGCTGGCATTGAAGTCGATCTTGCACAATCTTCCGACGATGTTGACCGTTTACTTGCTTACAGAAAAACTGGCCGAGGCTACGCGCAAGTACGCGGCTCTACAAAGCGAGCTTAAGACCGCGGTGGAGCTGCAACAGGGAAGCGGGAAAAACAAGGGAAAGGCCAGCGCGAAGCCGCTCCTGCCTACCAGAAAGCTGAGGGATCTGAAGCTTGCGTTTTCCGAATTTTACCTTTCCCTGATCCTCCTTCAGAACTACCAGACCCTTAATCACACCGGCTTCCGGAAGATTCTCAAGAAACACGACAAGGTATCTTATCGCACGGTATGCGATATCGTGCCCTCCGTTAATTTCTCGTCCGTTAGTCACACGCTTGTGTAATTTCAGAAGCTAGAACTATCCCAATGCGTCGCGCCTCTCCTCCCGTAGTTGCAAAACAATGGCGCGAGAGGCGACTGCTGTGTGCGACACGATATTCCGACACCTATATTCCCTGTGTACCCCGAGTAAAAGCCAGTGATTGTCCTCAACAGTTTATATGATTTTATCACACGGTTTTCAATTCCTACAACTTGCCACATGAAATGCCTTCAGTTACTGTCGGTTGACGCCGGTACGAAATGGAGAGTCGAATGCGTGGAGACGTCGCACTTCTACACGTCCAAGGATATAGACAAATTGATCCAGGAAACGGAAGCCATGGTGACGAACGATCTCGAGGGTGGCGATCGACAACGCGCTATGAAACGTCTTCGGGTGCCACCGCTCGGCGAGCACCAGAGTCCGTGGACCACCTTCAAGGTTGGGTTGTTCTCCGGCAGCTTCATCGTTCTGTCTGTCGCGGTTGTTCTCTCAGGTATCGTATCATCTGTCCGTCGCAAGTTGCAACGTCCTCGCGGCTGCGCTGAAACCTCCCTTTTTACTTTCAGCCGTTTTCCACGACACCGGGGAGAATCTCAAGATCGCATTTAGACTGTATCGAGGTCCGTTCCTCATTATTGAGTTTTTGTTCCTTATCGGGATTAATGTCTACGGATGGAGGTCTTCCGGCGTCAATCACGTTTTGATATTCGAGCTGGATCCTCGAAATCATCTTTCGGAGCAGCATCTCATGGAATTGGCCGCGGTTCTCGGAGTCGTCTGGACGCTTAGCTTGTTAAGTTTCCTATACAGTGCCAGTCTGAGCATTCCGCCGTACATCAACCCGTTAGTACTCGTCATTATCATGACGGTCTTTCTGATAAATCCCGTCAGGATATTTCGCTACGAGGCTCGTTTCTGGCTGCTGAAAATCATAGTGAGTATAATTCGCGCGTCCTCTCTCCCGTCGTACGAATGAAAAGTTGAATATAGTCCTCTGTCTTATTTTAGGCGCGCGTTCTGATATCACCGTTCGCGTACGTCAATTTTGCCGACTTCTGGCTGGCGGACCAGTTCAATAGCTTGGCGACCGCGTTCTTGGACTTGCACTTTTTAATATGCTTCTACATTACGAATAACGGCGACTGGTTGAAGGCGGGCGACACTACGCAATGTATGTCCGGCTCTCTCGTTATCAGACCCATTGTGAACTGCTTGCCGGCGTGGTTCCGCTTCGCGCAGTGCGTCCGTAGATATCGAGATTCCAAAGAGGCGTTTCCGCATTTAGTGAATGCTGGAAAGTATTCCACGACGTTTCTCGTTGTTGCCGCCAATACGTTATACGCTTATCATGCAGGTAATAAATTACACCAACTAAAACATGTGTGTCTTCTTATAGTTTCAAGTGTTTGATGTCTCGAAAGTAACGAAAGGATGATGCTCTTTTACAGCGGAATATACTAATCGATGGGAGAATCCATGGTTGTGGCTGTGGGTGTGTAGCTGCCTTATTAATTCGATATACTCGTACACGTGGGATCTTAAGATGGATTGGGGCCTTTTAGACAGCAACGCCGGTGAAAATCGTTTTTTGCGCGAGGAAGTGGTTTACTCGGCAGCCGTGAGTAAAATAATGATAAAACTAACAACCAATAGCAATATTCAACTGCAGATTTACACGTTACACTTGTGTTTCAGTGGTTTTATTATTTCGCAATAATAGAAGATTTTATACTACGATTTATATGGATTGCGAGTGTTGTCCTTGTCGAGTGCAGATATATCTCTGGCGATTTAATGACTTCTATAGTAGCGCCTCTCGAGGTCTTCAGGTAAGCACGCTTTTTGCCATTGCTCTGTTTTATTCGATAATTTTCTCGTATCTTTTCGACTCATTGCAAGACTACTTTCCAGACGATTTGTATGGAACTTTTTCCGTTTGGAGAACGAACACTTGAACAATTGCGGTAAATTCCGCGCCGTGCGCGATATCTCGATAGCGCCTATAGAAAGCTCCGATCAAACGCAGATCTTGCGTATGATGGACGATGAGAACGGTGTACTTAATAGGGGCAAACGTAAGAGCGGCGGTAAGAAGCAGAGCAATACAAAGGAGGAAAAACGAGCGCTGCTTAAGGAAGAAACCATAGATGTCGATATATCAAATGCCAGCTGAATATAGTTTAAGATTTTTGTACGATTGTTATCTCTAATTTTCTCCAATATAGAAACTCCCGAAACTTTTGGTACTTAGAAGAGACAATTCGCACGATTTTGTGAGTGACACACGATTTCGCTAGATGTCAGATGGTTATCATGCTTTCCAGCAGATCCATGATTATAAAATTGAAATCATAGTGCCTTTCGTGCTTCTCTCGTATAAGATACTTTACGGTAATTTGTAACAATCCACGATGTAGCCTGCACCAAGAGTCTTCCACCAAAAGCGAGCAGTTGTAGCTTAAATTAAAATGTACAATTTCACGAATTTTATAGCTTTTAGATACAGGCATGTATAAACAGATATAACGTATCGTATGAAGCGTGTGCTTTTGCATGCGAACTTTGCGAATTGTTGACGAGTAAGATCATTTTGCCTGCCATTTAGATGCTATTATACACTATGATTTTATTAATGTATGTTACCAACATTTTTTCTACCAATGCCATTTTTTAATAATAGGTGATCGATGCTATGAGCAAATACTTACACGAATATTGAAAGTAGAAAGAAAGGAAGTATTTATACCAAATAGTCTGATGTTACTACGCTCATATAACATAAGTGATACTAAACATGTATTAATACTAGGGAGGCCGTCACAATGTGCTTTTTTATACATATTGTACTTATATCGTGTAGAGTTGTATTGGCCTATATATGTAGTTATGCATTATTTTCCAACAGCAAGAGGGGTAAAGTATTAAATTTGTAAATTTGACATTGAAATTCGCTGATACTTCGCGTCATTTGAATAGCAGCATTTTGTATGTGAAATAGTATTACACTTATTCAATTGTTTTATATAAATATATTGTAAGATAGTAGGAAGATAGTAGTCTATTATATTAATTTTGAAGAAGTAGCAGCAATACATATAGTTTTATAATAAGGATTATTTAATATTTTCGATTGTTATATACTTAATGAAACATCTGCTCAATGAGATGATAAAAAATTATTTTGTTATATATATTTATTATTTCTATACTTGTTACTAATCATTTATACAAGTGAAATAAGTTAATAAATTAAATAATAAAACATTATACCGGTATACAAAACATTTTATGGAATACGAGATAAAATACTTTCATTGCATCGAACTAATAAAAATATTTGATTTAAAGTACGTTTGTACTTGCAAAACTGATAACTTAAAGCAGCTTACAATTGTCAAATGTTATTTTCATTGCATATACATTAATAGTAAATACATTAAAGCAGATGGTAATTCAAGATTGTAATTATATTTTCTAAATCAAAGTATTTGTTGAAATAAAACATTTTAATTTTTATATTTAAATTCTGTATATTTGTGTGCAGCATCTAAAGATATGAATTTTATATATTAGAATTTGCGTGTATTCCAACAAAATTGTGATGATGTTATATAAATCATTTTCTGTGTGAACAATCAGACTCATAGTTATTTGGAATATAAACGTTAAATATTTTTATGTCTTGTATTTATATATAGTAAAGTTTCTGACATTGTTATAGCGCATAAAGTGTATGCAAATCCATGCATTACTACTGGCTATGATAACTTCGTAAGTTAGATTATATACATAATTTTAAATACTGCAATACAATGATTATACCTCATGTTGTAATAAAACGTTTTAATAGACATATATTGTTATACTCCAATCACATAAACGATATATTTAATAATCAGGAAAAATATGATGCGAGATTTGCCGAATTAAAAACTGCGTTACTTTTTAATGAAAATGAATCACTGAATTTTTATTAAATACTAATGAAATGATAATAAACCGGGCACAATTGATATAGATTTTCAAATAGATTTCAACATAATTTGATTGTATCTTATATCTATTTCAATAATTTATATGCTTAATTTTAATTTTCAAATTTAGATTCGTAGGTCTTCCCTAAC